GATGAAGCAACAAGGAGGTCATGGCTGGACCTTACAAGTACACTGTACTGTTTTGCTAGAGTGATGGACACAGACACTAGAATGGAGCAAAACGACGAGGAGAGGGATGAAAGCAAAGATGTGTTGTGAGGACACTTTCTAGAGGTTTGTCTAAGAGGAAGATCAGATTTCAATTCGGATTTTGGCCCCTAACTATGTGAGCAACTTCTCTTATATCTGGCCCTCAACTCTTAGAATGAAGAGAGTCTATTCTACTCTATGTATGTAGAATGATAAATATGAATGTTTTTCTTTCCTTCATTCTTAATTCTCCAGTGCCTCTTAAAGCAAGAGAATCTTGCTGGTGGTGATTCTAGTTTTAAAGACATATACTACATATATTTATTGGACTACATAATCCTCTCCTCCTGCCAAAATAATAAAAAGTAAACCGAATACTTTATGTGGTGTTAAAAATAAAGGTTTGGATTCAACAAGATATGGATTACTATGCCCATCTCTATTGTGGCACCTTCCTAAGGAATTTTCAAGGAAAAAAATCGAACTATACTCAATTCCACCCTAAGCACTGACTTGAGAATATAACTTCTCTGTAGGATGCACCTCCACCTTTAATGACTAAGATCTTAAGCGGTTTAAGAAATCCCAGAGCAGTAAATACTGGATTTGCAAGGAAGCTTTGCTTTTTACATCAATTTCCTTTTACCTTTCCTTTTTAGCAACTTACCAGTTCAGCCACGTTTAAAAAATTAAATTTTGCTAGACTGCGTCATACTATTGTTATTGCCCCTAATAATAGCTTCCTTCCTCTCCACCCCCACTGAAAGGAAGTAGCTGGAGTCACAGAGTTAGAATATTGGAAAAGTACCAAAAACACATTTTGACTTTTAGTTTACAACTGAGAACAGTTATTTGGTATTTGACTCCAGTGGCTCAACCACATTTGCATGTTAGCAGGCGAAAGCAGTTTAGGACAAATATAACTGCAAATAGTTAAATTCTATTGAATGAATCTATATGATAGCATTACAGTGAGGGCTTGGTGCAGAAAAAGATGGGTATTGGCTTGAGAAAGACAAATGATTCATTTCTTGGTTTACCGTCTCAGATTGAGCAAGGAAAGGGGACAGGCATAATATTGGGAGTTTCTTGCAGTTGGAAACTTATTAAGAATACATAAATACATACATGACTTCCAAAAATGAATCAGGAAATCAGCGAGATTTTTCAATACATATGCATATATACATAGCCCCAGAACTACCTGCAAATGTGCAGGGACAGTCTAGAATAATAGAATTAAAGGCACCAGAATTTAATTCAAAGTAAATTAGACAATATAAAAACTAGAAATCATGATACAGGTTTCTGCAAGAAAAGGACTTTTTCCTTTTTTAAACAAGTTTAACCTTTATATTTAGTTTCACAGAGCATATTTATGTCTAAGAAAACCAACTTTAAAGTGAATGAATTATTCTGAAAGAAAAGGGAAGGTTAAAAAAAAGCTAATTGTTTTCATTAGAATTTCATTTATAAAAGACACAATTACTGGAAGTATCCTTTGTCCTAGCAAATTAATTCATTGTGACAATCTTTCTTGAGTGCTTTTTATGATTGCATAAATGTTTAAAATAGTGGTAACATACTTTCCCTTAACAATTTATTTATAATAGTTTGAATACTTATGTGACCTGAAGCTACAAGACTAGAGAAAGCCAAGTAGGATAGAGATATCCTACTGTACCCACAACTGTCATTTTGTGCTTAACACATAAGTTCTAGTCTTTCTTTTCAGGTATGGAACATCTGTGAATTCAAAGCTGTCAATCAAACTAGGTAAGGTCAAGTTCAGTTTTCTGACCCTCCATTTCCTGGGGGACTGAATTGCATGAGTTTGCAGCTCCACCCAGCACACATCCAGTGTAATTGCTCTCCTTGAGTGTGAGGGTGGGGCTTGGGGTTGTGACTATGATGGGATATCACTCCCACAATTAGGTTATGCTATATAAGGCAGAAGGAATTTTGCAGATGTAATTAAGGTTCCAAATCAACCACCTTTGAATTAATCCCAAGGGATATTGTCCTGGGTGAGCCTGACCTAACCTGGTGAGCCCTTAAAAGGAACTGGGCCCTTCCTAAAAGATGAGATTTTAAGGGGAAGTCATGCTGTGAACTGCCTATGGAAGGGGTTGTGGAGCAGAGACCTGGGAGGGACCTTGAGGAGCTGAGAGCAGTCCCTCTTGCCAGGAAGAAATTGACAACCTCAATCCTGCAGCCACAAGGAAATGAATTCTGCAAACCACTCAGACACACCTGAAAGTGGATCTTTATCCAGTTGAGCCTTCAGGGAGGATGCAGTCACCTTTTACCTCGATTTTAGACTCCTGAGCCCCAGAGCAGAGAACTCAGCCACACTGTGCCAGACTCAGCCCACAGATACTGTGAGATAATGAATTTATTTGTTTTAAGCTGGTAAGCTTACAGAAATTTGTTATATAGCAATGGAAAACTAATATATGTGCTCTGATTAAAGACAAGAATTGTTTGGGCCACTAGACTATAGTTCCTTGGACAACTAGTGGCAACACACTTTTTTTTTTTGAGACGGAGTCTTGCTCTGTTGCCTGGGTTAGAGTGCCGTGGTGCCAGCCTAGTTCACAGCAACTACAAACTCCTGGGCTCGAGCGATTCTCCTGCCTCAGCCTCCCGAGTAGCTGAGATTACAGTGCGTGATACCAAACCTGGCTATTTTTCTATCTTTAGTGGAGATGGGGTCTTGCTCAGGCTGGTCTTGAACTCCTGACCTCAGGTGATCTTCCCAGAGTGCTAGGATTATAGGTGTGAGCCACTGTGCCTAGCCAACACAACCTGCTTGATGCTCTTCTACAGAGAGATGAATAAACCTCTTTGAAGGTTTATGCTGTACTTCAAAGGGCTCCATCAAAGTAAACATTACATTGACCACTACATTTAAAACCTTTCTCAAAGTCAAGTCTGTCTATAGCTTAGAACACCAAGAAACAACTTTTCCAGCCAAGGGTCTTGAGTGGCTATTCTGTCACCTGTATTTCTCAAGTACTTGATCTTCATTCTTTTCTCATATTGTTCAGGAAAGGGAAGCTCTCAGACCTACCCATCAACATTTTAAGATGTTATCCAGACATGGCAGCTCTGAGTGGTTATAACAGACAGCATTGGATTTAGGAGTTCAACTCTTGGCTCTGAAACTGACTAATCATGTTACCTTAGGAAAGAGAATTACTTCCTGGACTCCTGGTTTCCTTATCTATAAAAAATAAGATCTTATGATGTATTATTCCCAGACTACTCAAGAAAAAGGAGCATGAAAAAACTGCTGGAGTTTCAAGGAACACTCAAATTCTCCCTCTAGAAAGACTAAAAAATGTGCATAAATCTTTTACCTACAGATCAGGGGGATATTCCTTTATCTTCTTGCCAGTTAAACAGGTTATCTTCAAATATTTTAAGATGTGCAAGGGAATCTTACCCTTCATGACAGGTGACACTGTAGTGGAGAGGGAAGGTATGAGACTCTTTGAACATTACAAGGAGGTAATTTTATTCAATATAAGGACAGATTAAGATGCAGATGGTAAAAGATCTGATGTGATGATTTTATTGAGGTGCCAAGAAGGCAAGGGTAGGAATACAAAATAGGGAAAAGTTCACAGAACTTTTGGCTTTGAATAAGGTGGGGCATTCGGGAAGATGAACTCAAGTGTGGGAAGTTCTAGGGAGCTGAGATGTGAGGTGGTAGAGGTGCCATATTAGCAAAGCAAGGCTGGCTTCTATGGATGCTTTAAATGCACTATTTCTTCTCATTCTCACACCTATCCTGTGGAGTGGCACTATGATTATCACTCGGAGAGGAAACAGTCTGAAACAGGTTGACTTTCCCAAGTCTACCCAAGCAGTCTTACCTCAGAGCCCTCATTCCTAACCACCAGTGTCTCAAGTTGGAACAAATGGGAAGATTTCCAGTCTGTCCCTTTGCACCAAGAGAGGGGAACCTCTTCTTTCTTAGCTGGAGATTTTCCTGACAGGAGCTCTTTTCTCCTAGAAAATTGTGTCCCTTAGGAAAGGAGTCCATTCCCTCACAGTCCCTAGTTGGTATGGTATTTCTTGGGCAGGTTAATATTCTGTCCTTGTGGCTCTATTTTGATTTTACGAGAGGGTTTGGACTCTTTACCCACCTGACTTTGAATCTCTACATTGTTTTCAGTGTAGAAGAGGGACCACCTATTCAATCTGTTTTTATGGAGGCGTAGCTGCTATTTGGGAGCTGTGTCTTTCAGTGGAGAGAGGGGATCAGACATCAACAACCCTCAGGGCCTCTTCCATCACCATTCCGGCTGCCCTGTCGCCCCTCCCCAATGTGTGCACGTGCCTGATTTTGGGAATGGTCAGCGCCCTGCTGCTGTCTTCCTTGTGCCCGGCCAGGCAGGGCTTCCCATTAGCCTGCTTCCTGCTTGTTCCCATCAGGCTGGACAGTGTGTGGATACTAGGATTGGGGGAACCATGGGGCAATTCTGATTTCCTCCAGCAAGGGGCTCAATAATGAGCCCAAGCCTCGACAGTGGGTTCAATGCTATGTCTGGGGAAAACGGCACTGAAAAGCAGCCAAACCCAAGATGGGATGAGGAAAAACAGGACACAGTAAAGACAGGCTCACTTGACATCAGAATACATCTTTGGAAGCCTGAAGCGCTGTCCTTATAAAAATGCAAAACAGACCCAAAAGGAATTACTATGATCTTTAAAAGGTCAGAGTGAGTCTGAACATTGATTTTCTTTTAAGATGCTTTATCAATTAGAGACCAGAGGTTTTTTTCCTGATGATATTTATTTCATAAATGTAATTATTTTTCTAAAACATTAAAATAGAAAACATGTTCTTTTGATCAATTTATACAAAGAAAATACCAATATAGTAATAAAAATACTGAAAATATATGAAAAGCACCAGAACATTAGAGAAATTACACTGGCAACAATTCTAGGAATATATTTTTTTTGTAATCGTACAATAAAGTGCTATTAAGTTCAGTCAAAATTAGTGGCAAGATATAAAAACAGTTATGGTATTATGAAATTTGAGGCTAAGTTCACCAGCAATTGCATTTTTGGGCTATTTGCAGGTCAAGCTAATGATATTTCATTAATGCTTTCATGGAAAATCTAATTTCCATTCCCAAGTGAAAACAAAAATCTAAATCTAAATTGTTGGTCCTTGGTAATTTGGTCAAGAACAGGTAATGACATGACTAAAAATAAAATTGATTAGAGTACCAAAAATCATGCAATTGTGATTAAATAAAACCAAAGGAAGACAGAATAAAATCAAGTATAAATATATATGATTAATCAAGACAAGTACAAAAGTTTAGATGCCTTTGATTTTATAGTTTTCAGTAATTCTGCTTAGTCACATTTAATAGACACACGAACATTAACAGATATGTTATTAACTTCAACTCACCAGGCATCGAGCAAGGATATTTTAGTGGGTCAACATAATTTTCATATGAAACATTAAAGGGACACCGTTAGGACAAAACATTTCCAATCTTGGCTAATTATTTCCTCATTTATTTGCTGAGGAACAAAAAACATACACAAATACTTTGGGATCAGATTATATTAAGGCCAAAAATCTACCAGGTAAGGGGAAGGAAGCCACTGTGCACACACACAGGGAGATATTGTGCACAGTACTTAGAGTGGACTGCAGTCCGTTTCACATCTGGAGGTGGCAAACTGAAACAGAAAAGTCCAAATTAAGACAAAGTAGCACACCAGTGTCCTTTTAAGGTTTTATTTCCTAGGCCAATTTTGAAGGAACTCTATTATATCATCCTTCATAACTCAATTTTGGAATCAACTTCTTCAAGATGAAAGCCAACAACTCTACACCTCAGAATAATAATAAATCTCCAAACATGGCTCAATTGAAACTCAAAATTTATTTTACAGGCAGACTTTTTCTTTCATATAAAGTAGACATACACGTGAACCAACATGGACTGAAACTGGTCACATTGATGAGAAAGGAAACTAATTTCATTAGCCTCTGCTACTGCAAGGTATATCTTTTTACGAATTTAGGAACCATACTGCATATTATTGTATCCAAGGCAGAATGTCAAGTAAGTCAATTAGTCCTGGGCTGAAGGTTTTGCAGTTCATCGTGAGTTATATTTTTCATTCTTTAAAATGGAGAACTGACACTTGAGCTTGTATGTTTTTGTTTTATTTATTTATTTTTTACTTTTATAGATACTCCAGTCCTTTGTAAGTTTCCTTCTCATGGCTGATTTTAACAAGGAACAAATATTTGAAACCTAAATTATCCTGCTTAGCATCTTGAAAAAATAACTTCAAAAAATTTGATCTGACAGACACCTTTCACTTAGAAATGAGGGGAAGATGGAAAAACAAAGGATCAAGCCTTTATAATAAATTAGGCAAAAGGTTCAGTGTCCAGGCAGGGACAGTAGACAACAGGAAGGTACATAAAAATGACTGGAAAGGGGGACTGCTTGAAAAGACTCTCCTTCTGGGCATTACTAACCGAATTCGAAGAAAATCCAACCACACTTAGTTTTCCAAATTCTACTGAAATGAGAGTGTTCATAAAAAAGCCCGAGATTAATAAAAGGCAGGCTGTTGAGGAACACTGAGAAACAAAGGCTAAGGTGGTTTGGCATTAAATAGGTTTACATTCCAAAAGAATATTGACTATCATCTGGAAGTAATTCTCAAAATTACAAAGTTATGATTACATAAATTCCTCTACGTTTAATATACATGGTCTTCTATATACATAGTATAGAAAAGCTAGTAAGTTGGCTCAGCTATGATAATTTTGTCATAAAAAAGCAGATTACATATTTGGCTGCAAGAAAGCATGTTACTTACACTTTTCAGTTCAGCTAATGTATTTACATGATAAAACTTAAGCCTTAAAAGTATTCAAATCAAAAGGAAAAAATAAATTATATTTAAACTATTAATTTACACAATGGCTATGCCTTTACTAAATAGCTATAGTCTCCAATAATCAATTTCTCCAGCATTTCTTTATTCTAACAGTTTATTTTCAAGACATATATGTGTTCCCCTCTAGGTGCTGCACATTTCCTTTTAGGAAGCCCAGATGTGCAATACTTTTAGTAGCTTGGTGGAGAAGTTTTGGGTCATTACTTTTTCCAACTAATAGATGAAGGAGCTGTGTTTTCTACCAGGTACCACTTATTTAACTCTATAGCAAGTAGAAGAAAGAGATGACAAAAGCAAGCAAGAGCACTGTTAAGGAAAGAAGCAGCTGCTGGAACCAGATACAATGCTGCACTTGGTCTTCAAGCTTCCTATTGCTTTCTAGTAAACGATTGAGCTGAAGAGGGAAAAAGGGATGAAAGATTTGTCAGTAAAAACACTCATTAATCATGGGCATGGCAAACAAGAATATTAGAAATCCAAACACTGAAGGGATTGGACCCATCTGCTCTGAAAAGCTGGGAGCTGGAAATGTAACGAGGCATTAGATTTGTTTGGTTGGTAGATGTCTCTGCTTACTCTCATTTTGAAAGGTCTAAATTTTTAGTTGGGAGAGGAGCAGAGCAGTCACTTCCTGGATGGGTGAAATCCTTGAGCTACTGTCAGTTACTTAGCCCTCTGTCTCTTTCAAATTTAAAAGCATTATGTGCTACTTTTACATCAAGATAAATTCTTTGATACCACCCCCATACCCAAAACACCTTATGTTTTGCTAAAAATGACTGGAGCTTTCAAAGGTTAATAAATCTCTAAAAGTAACTCGTTGCTTACCATTTTTGGTTTGGCATCTCTTCACAAAGAGAGCATTTCTTTCATGTCTATGCCAAAGGGTTTTCCTTATATCAGTGGGAAAAATGGATTTCTAATGTTGATTAGCATTAACAACTTTGTTTTAGTTAGGAAAAAGAAAGTACACTTACTTGTAGATATATATCTTCACTGGTTTTATCTGACATGTTAAAAGCATTGTCTTTTAACGTAAGAGTGTTTGGCTTACTGTTCTCAACAGTATGGCATCTTAACCTATGAAAGTCCAAAGGAAACAACTTGTTTAAAGTGTTAATGAATTTTCTTATAAAAGTAAAATATTAAAATGAAAGAAGTTAAATACACAAAGGTCTGTGTAACAGGTGAAAGTCCTCATTCCTCTTCCCAGGTTCACCTAGGGTGGCAGCTCAGGATATATCTTCCAGCTGCTTAATGCATGTATAAAGAACACAAGAGATCACAGACACTGCTCAGTAACCCATGAGATTTCAACAAAAAGTTTTTTATTCAGTAGAATTCATCCAAATATCTGACAATTTGAAAGAAACCACCCTTTATAGAAAAGTTCTTGGGCCTTCAGTACACACCCACCAAGCACCCTTCCCACTTTCTGTGAGAACACAGTGATCTCCTCTCACAGGTATAGAAAAGCAAGCCATTAGGAATTGATAAAACAAAAACCAAAGAAACAAAGCAACTCATAGATAACAAAACCAAAAGAAACACCCCTCATTTTGAAGGACTGTTTCAAAGGAACTTCAAATAAATCTTCAACACCTTTTATTCTAGTTTTGTAACCTTTCAAAGTATTCTGATAACTGTGCCTTTGACCAAAAAACCCCACAGAAACTCGATAAAAGCAAAAAGTAGGCCCTCCTGTACTATAATTTGAAAAATTTAAATATTCCACATACACACCAGGCAGCCACTGACCTCCACCTGCATCCTTCCTCCGCTGAACTAAGGCTAATCTCCCACTTTACGTCCCCGTCTTTTAGCCTCCTCAGGAATTTCACTGTCCATGATCTATCTTGTATTGTCCAGCCTCTCCCCCTCCAATGGTCCTTGCCACAGGCTTTTAAACAATGCTCAAATCTCTCCCATGAAAAACCCTTCATCAATACCACATTCCTCCTTGCAAATACTGCTGCAGATCCCTCCCAACCAGCAAAACTTCCAGTACAGTGTGACCACCTCCACTTCTTTAGCATCTGGCCTCTCTGTCTTACGTGACTCTTGAAGCCTGAAAGTGCTCTCTATAAGGTCACCAATGATTTCTGTGATGTCACCATCAACGGGCCCTGCTACCACATCCTCCTTGACCAGCATGGCAGCATCTGGTACTGGTAGTCACTTCTCCTTTGTAAAATATTCTCTTTGTTGGGCTTTGATGACAGTCCCAACAGAGCCTGCCTACTGGTTTTCCTCCTAAATCCTTCCTGGGTCTTCTTCCATTTGTTTCCCCTGGCCCACTCTTGTTCTCTTCCACTGTTACCAGCACTGCAAACAGGATGATCTTGTCAAAGGCATGTCAGATCAGGTTGCCACTGTATTGTAGGTTTTGTGATGGTGACTGAGCTCTTGCTCCGGCCCCAGCCTGCCCCTCCAACTGTGTTACCACAGATCCTCTCATTCTCTGTGTTCCAGCCACACCTGTGTTCTTTCAATCCCTGTTTTGAAGATTCCATTCAACCATGAGCAATGCCAGGTTTCCCAGCTTCTCATCTATAAAGTGGGAAAAATACCTCCCTCTCATAGGGCTGTCTTTATGACTGAATGATTCAATAAGTGTAAAGCATCTAGAACAGTGCTGGCACACAGAAAATTCTACTTCAGTGTGAATTTGGTATAACAGTTCCATCTGAACCTGCCCACCATCTAGTTTCTACAGAGCCTCCAGAAGAATCCTTTTAAAAAATAAGCCAGATCACCTCATGGCTTTGCTTAGCACCAACTAATGGTTTCTCCTCTCAGATTCATAATTCATCCCTATAGCAATGATCTGGTTTCTTATATCTTTGTCCTCATCTCCCACCAAGCTTACTGGAGTTGTGACATTGACCTCCCTGCTGTTCCTCACATAGGCCTAGTACACTCTCCTTTCATTTGTTGTTCCTTCCGCCTGGAAAGACCTCTGTCCAGTTATCTATGTGGCTTACTCATTTCCTTCAGGTTCTATTCAAATGTCATCAGAGTGGCCATATTTAACTACCCTATAAAAGAAAGTTTCTCAACCTTGGCACTGTGGACATTTAGGGCTAGATCATTTTTTTGGGGGGGTGGGGGCTGTCCTGTGCACTGCAGGAGGTTTAGTGGCATCCCTAGGCTCCCCCGACTAGATGCTAATAGCACCCCATGCCCCAACTAACTGTAACAACTAAAAATGTCTATAGACATTGAAAAACATCCCCTGGGGAGCAAAACTGGGAACATGCCAATAAACCATAATTCCAATTTAAAACATTAAAAATAGCCAAACAAAAGTACAGCCTTCTCTATTTTCCTTTTCTATGTATCTTTTCAAGACATTTGTCACAACCTGATATACACACATACATACATACATGTATATACCTACACACTCATGAGTTTTCGCCTCTTAAATAGGATGTCATAAAAATTTTTCTGTGACTAGGTTTTTTTTCTAATATATCACAGATGTCTTCCCATGTCAGAGCAGACTTATACTTTTTTGAACGGCTACAGTATTTTTTACATGGATATACTTAAATGTATCTCACTATTGCTTTAACTAGTGACTACTTAGGTTCTTTATCTCCAATTTTTCACTATTTAAACAATGCTGCAACAAACATTCTAGTACACAAGGCAAGCATTCCTACAAGGAAAAACACTGCAACGAAGAGGTCTGTTTTTGTGCTCTGGACAGATCCAGACTCTTGCACTGGCTTGTAAACAAGTTTCTGCTATCAGCAATCTCCTTGAGCAAGTCTGGGTTTCATTCATCTGGTCAACCCTATAGGCTAACTGGGTACCTGGTCATGCTGGATGCTTCAACGCCTACCAGATGAGAGAAGGAAAGGCCCCTTTCTCTTTCTGATTCTTCCCACTACATTCTCGAGAGTGTGACTAAAAACCTTACCTATGCTCCATCACTTTGTTTCTGGGAACTTCTTTCCAAAACTGAGTCAATTCTGCTGGACCTGTGCCAGATGACTGTTCCATTTCTGCAGCCATTATCAGAAAACGGTCTTGGGCAGAGACTGTTAAACCTGCATTGCAAAAGGATAATTTAGTATATAAACAGGAACCTTTACAAGGGGTTGGATACGTATGTGGTTTGAGGCATCATTCTGGAACACATTAAGGAGAAAAAAGAACTCCCTTAAAAAGGAAAAAGTTCTAAAAATGAATATCATTTTTGAAATTTAATTTTAATTGGTGTCAGTTTAAACAACTTTACTCATTAAAAACATTTTAATGCTGGAATAGGGCTTTAGAGACCCCTTTGAGGCTTTGACCATCTCATTTCACATATGAGAAAAGAGATGTCTAGAGTGAGGTGAGGTGCTGATACTTTGCTCAGCCCCAGGTCCCCTGCCCCCACCACACCTGCTGTGGCTACTAAGTGACAACTTACCCCCATGAGGAGACACAACTATATCAACTGATGCACCTGGGTCACAGCTGCTGTTGCTTGGCTTGACTCTGTATTTTTCTGGAGCAGTTGTTCTCACCTGTTTATAAATAGTAGTCATATAACAACCTTTATGGCAATTTGGGGGAAATGGCTTAAGAATGACTTTTTTAAAAATCAGCACTTAGTCAATGAACAAAGAGTTTACAAAGCGACATTGGTGGTTAGGTACAGAATATATTTGTCCCCACTAACAGGAGAAAACCACCTCAATCTATCTAAAAAGATACTTGTATATAAGTCTAATTGTCACTTAGCCGTCCTCAAATAAAAAAATTAATCCATCTGTTAAATATTCCGTTGGCTAATAGCCTGAATTTAATGATGCAAATTCACAAAAACAGAATGCACATTAGATTTCATGTTGCAATAGTGTGTTCAGAAATTAAAAAACAGACAAATAAGGCACATCAGGAACATCCTAGTGGTTATATCTAAATTCAACAGAAGATTTGAGAAGAATATGTACAATATGGGGGGGTGGTGGAATCAATCTTGTTAAACTTAATTAATGCGCAGTATCAGGTTAGTATCCAATATAAACCACAATCCAGAATATATCACACTTGGGGGGAAATGTACTATCAATTTTATAGTTTTACCTTTCATTGTTATTATAAATTAAATTATTCATATAATGAAGAGTGATTTTTCCTGAGTTTTTATTTACAACAAACATTAAACCCTGGGATTAATTTAGACATTAGCCTATTACTGCACATTAAAGATTTAGATACAGACCTCAGGGAAAATTTTAGATAAGCTATGCTGTTTAGTTAGAACCAGAAGGTAGTACAACATCCCTGAAAATATTGTAATAAAAACACGGTACAAGTTCAAAATCCCCAATCTTTCAAGTAAAGTATGTCTAAAATCACTTCCCATTTCAAAGTCTTTCAGATAATTTATTAAATCTTTAAGATATTTACCTTAAATGCCACTATATTTTTAGTTACATTTGTCAACACTATTAAAGTTTTCTTCTCTCCAGATTCTGTACTTCCAAAATACAGTTCTTCTGCTGGGCTAGGTAGTGACAAAAACATAAGGCATTTGTAATACTCAGAATAAATGACAGTCTAATTATTAGCTTGAAGAAAAATACTTAGTTAATATCTTAAGCTCATTTATATAAAGAGATTTCACCAAAAATGACTACAGAACAATTACCTAATATAATTCTGTATTTTAATCTTGCTGATTCAACACATGCTATTTAAAAGAAATCCTATGGTTTTGCCTAAGATCAAAAACAAAACAAGGAAGAACAGAAGAGAGAATTAGAAAGATTCTGAATTAATCTTATAATCAGCACTATCTTCAGGTATATTTAAACTATTTGGAAGGTTATAGATAATAATCAAAGCAAAGAAGGTACTGCTGTTTCAACTTTACCTAATTACAAATAGATTAGAATGGGGCATATTTTTATATACACACAGAGAAGAGCATAAATTATAAAGAAAGGTTGCTAGGGGTGTATTTAAGTAACAATAATTTCTTACTATATAACGGTTTCTCTAAGTAATAGGGAAGGAGAAAAATAAGCAAATTTGGGGTGGGAACTGCACAAAGAACTTATCAAACAGCAAAACTGGCGAGGATCAAAATTTAAGTTTTACTATTATTGGCCACTGTAATGCCCATGACCTAAAATAAAAATTGAAAGACTCAAGCAAAGTTTGTGTAGTTTAATTATATTAGCCAAATTGTATCAGGTGCCTCAAAACAATGGGGAAAACAGTATTTTTTGTTTTGCATAAAAAGGTAAAGAACTTCAGATGAGTCTTTAGATAGTCCTTAATTTTGAGACACATCTTTAAATATATTCATTTTATATCAGGAATGTCTGTATATCACGGATACTTATCAACTTAGAGAACATGTATTTTTAAGGAAGAGCTCTCCCAGAATAGCTTTGCCTAGCTTTGGACAAGATGGTGAATCAGCATGATTGCTGGCTTCCTTTTAGAACCCAATCTTAAGTAAGTTACAGAAAAGACAGTAAGCTTATGGATCTCAGAATTGCTCTCAGTAGCAAGCACATAAATTGTGAGCAGCTCTAGGGAAACAGATGTTGCTTGGGTCCTTGTGCATGTGTAGGAGCAGCTCTGGGACTTTACTGGGGTGGAGGCAGGGTGGGGCAGAGCCCGAAGTGCAGCTGAGAAGCTGTGCTGCTCCAGTCTGGCTTTCCCTGTAAAGAGAGAGCTCTTCTTGTCGTACCTCTACACTTATAGGCTAGGACACAAGATTTGACAGGCCTCCAGTGAAAACATAGAACGTGTAACTTCTAAACAAGTAGAGGGAAAAATGAGAACAAGCAAACAACCACCACAAAAAACTCTAAAGGGAGGAAAATGGCAAAGGAAAACATGTAAAACAGAAAAGGTATGTGCAACATGCAGATTTCTTTCACATACACAGATGGTGAAGATAAATCCAAATATAACAGGAAACAAACCAATCTTGTCAATTAGAGAATCTCAGATTTTTAAAAAGTCTGGATGTATTGTTCATAAGAGACATATCTAAAACATAGTTACCCAGCAAGGTTTCGATGCTACATTAGATCATAAAGTTGGTGTGGCAATATTAACAGACAAAATAGATTTACCAACCAAAAGCATCATGAGTGAGAAAAGAGGTCTTTAGACAATGATGAAAGAAACAACCTTGAATCTTTTGAATCAAATAACCTAGCAACAAAAATAGAGATGTGTTGAAATTTGGTTTTAATCATAAACCTGTTTTTCTGGTTCACCTTTTGCTGTTGGAAGGTCAAATCAACAAAAGCCTACTTCAGTGTAACTTCTGGTATCCCTAAACTTGTGAAAGTCTAATAATGGTAACAGTAACATGAGAGAAATCCATGAAATTCAGATATTTATTGATAATTTATTAATATATTGTTTATTTCATTATCTGATATGAGACAGCCCTTTAAACACACTTGACAGAATAAGAAAAAAGTAGCTAAAAATATCCATTATGCCTGAATCAAGGCAAGTCTTTAGATAACCCTTAATTTTGTATTTCTGTAGTTTCAGAAAGAGTACAGAAGTTTTTCTTAATTTTGCAGCTCCCTCAAGATGATCAAGATTATGTTATAAAAGTATAGTTAATAAAATCTTCAACTATTACCTGATGTGTAGTAAGGGTCCTTTAAACACACTCAATGGTTTCTTGAAAGCTTTTATTTTTGAATCAACTTTTTCATTTTCTTCTGCTTTTGAAGTAGACTCAGTTGGGTTAGTCTAAAAACCAAAAAGAAAAAAAATGAAAGAAAAGATAAACTTAAGTTTCATACTGACAGTCGGGCAGATCATTAGGTCAAAGTAAACATTATTTTAATTCAATCCAAATTATACTCTTAACCATAGGTTTATTGTATTTAGCACATATTAACATGACCATTAACATATCTGAATTCCTACTACAAATAGGTTACTGTGGAAAATATAACATGGTCCTTTAAGAGTCTTTAAATTTGTTCTAAATTATATTTATCCCTCTATCAAGTCCCTGATTACTTGTAAAAAGGGAGACAACTAAGTGCTGTTTAACAAATAGAGAAAGTAACTAGATCAAGGTAAAGTTTTAAATTACTTTTATTTTAGACAAAAATTCCTTCCAGATGCCTTTTGCTGATTTTTATACAAAAGCATGGAATCAGCTTTTTATACACTAAAGTGGTGCTACTAGTCAGCTAGTCCCATCCTTCCTCTTACTTTTTATACACAAAGATATAGAAGGGCAGCAAGTTAAGTGAATTACCCAAAATTACATGGCCAGCTGGTGGTAGAATTAAGGCCAGACTACAGCTTTTGACTCAATTCAATTTAATTATAAAATTACCTTTTTTAGAAGAGTTGTTTGTTCTTCATTAGAAATTGTTTCCAAGGTTTCTTTACCATCACTTTCTATATCTTCTTTACTTGATGTTTCATCCTCACTGGTAATAGGCCCATTCTCACACAATGGTGTCTGGAAGTCATCATCCACTAGTGGTGGATAGCTATACTTGAAAGGATCCTAAAAGAAAAGTATTTCACATCAGCCTGCCAAGAGGTGGGTAGAGAAATAATTCTTTTAGTAGATTTAAAATTCATTACTTTGGCCAAGAAAGCAGACTTAATTAGATAGTGAAATTTAAAATGAAGCATTTCAAATCAGAAAGGAAAGGAGCAATAAGTGGTGTGAGACAGTTGGCTTGCCATCTATAGAGCATCAAGTTAGATTGTTAGCTCATTCTTTATGCCAAAAAGAATTTCAGATGGATAAAAACTTTAAATGTTTGTATTTTTTTTTTTTTATAAAACATATACGCTCCAGGACAATACAGAAGAGGATTAAAAACAAAAAAAAACCTAAGTAGGTAAGACCTTTGTATACATAGCACAAAACCTAGAAGCCACAAAAATATTGATAAGAATTGAACACACTCGAATGAAACATTTCTGAGTAGCAAAAAAACAAAACCTAACCAATCAACCAAGAACAACAAAAGATCCTTAAAAACTAAAAACAGAAAGGATTTTTTTTTTGTTTTAAAAAGGCCACAACTGGGAAAATATGTACCACATGCATAAAAAAAAGATAGCTTTTATTAATATATACAAATCAATAAGAAAAAGACTTAACAACTCACCAGAACAAGGGTCAAGGAATGATACAGAATTCATTGAAAAAGAACAAAGATTGCCTTTTGAATCACATATAAGTGCATATAACGTCACTTATAATAAAAGAAATGCAAGTTAAAAACCACAAAATATTTTTCACCTGAGACTGGCAAAGATCACAAAAATGAGAATATGTAGTGTTGGCAAGAAGGTGGTTCTAGTCCCACAGACTACTGGTAAATGGGCACAATCTCTTTAGAGGGAATTTGGCAACAGCTATCAAAATTAAAAACTATACCCATTGACTCACTGATTTTAATTATAAGAGTTTATCCTATATGTATATTTGCTGCACCTGTGTACCAAGAATTATTTGCAAGGATATTAATGATGGCAGAAGATTAGACAACGGTCCTTCAAAAGAAGACTGATTAAATAAATTGTTATATTCATCTACACAGTGGAATATTGTGCAATGGTTAAAAAATAAGGCAGACCTCTATGAATCAATATAGTATAACCTACACAATAAAGAATGTGAAAAAAGCACAATCAAACAGTATGTGTGGTATATGACCATTTGTGTAAAAAATTGTAATGGACAGATAACTCCAGAAGGATAGAAAATAGTGATTGCCTCTAAGGAGTGGCAGTGGGCACTGACCTGGGGAAAGAGAGGCACTTTGCACAGTCCTGTTTTACTTTTCAATCTCTGGTATTGTTTACTTTTTAAAAAAATCCTCTGTGTTACTTTTGAAGAAAACCTTAAAAATTTATGTTAAAACATAGTAGTCCTACTACCGTTTTGACTGAAATCGTGAAGAAACATACCACTAACAACAGAGAGGGAAAATAAAATAACCTTTCTATATGTAAAAACAAAAATCATTTTTATTAAATGCTATTACTTTTAAGATACAACAATTTTATGGGCAAATTATTAAAAATGACAAATCAAATAAAATCACTATGTTTAAGCACAGCATCTGAAATGAATGGTACTTGTTTTTTCTAGGTTAAAAGTTGAAATATAAAGCCTTAGAATAAAAAAGCAGCAGACTCTAAATTAAAAACATTGATTCAAGTCTTTTTAATCAAAAACACAAGGACATACCAGAATTTTTCATCTTGTTAGTCTGGTTGAATAAAATTTTGCCAGGCAGGCAGTATACAAAGTAGATTGTAAAAAGTCAAATAACTGAAATATTATCAAGTTACCCTAAAGTATACCAAGCCCAAAGGTTTTAAAGTTCATTTAAAAAAATCATTATCACAATAAGTTTCATTGTTATGTAATATTAAACATTTAACATGTACCCACATACTCCTGATTTCTTATTTGTAAGTAGTAAAAAGTTCAAAAATCTTGATAGTATTATACTTAATATATTTTTTAAATTAAAAAGACTGTTGAACAGCAAACAATTGGAAGCAAACTAAAGACACATCAAAAGGAGATTCAGTAACGTATGGTCCACCTCTAGATACTGGAATACTATGCAGCCATAAACAAGAGTACGTGAGCTTGCCACATAGAGATTTAGAATGATCTCTAAGATAATTTTTGGTGAAGAAGAAAGCATGATGCACAACAGCATATAAATATACTACCTGTTTAAAAGAGATGGGAGGGAGCAAGAATTTATACTATATTTATTTGCTTACATAGGCACTACATATCCCTGCAAATTAATATAAGAAATGTAAGCGGAGGGGAACAGGGTGGTTGGGGACAGAAGGAGGGGACACTTTCCTAAAGACTTGTTTCTGAATACTCTTCCGGATTTTCATTAGTTTAGAACCACATAAATATGTTACTTATATAAAAAATAAAAATGTAACAACTTTAAAACTTAAGTATAAAATGTCTGTAACACTACTTGCTATTTTGCAGGTATCTGTGATCTTTGTTATGAGATTGCTTTTCCTTTTTCCTTGAGGGAAGAATATAGCCTAATATGCCATTAGCCAATTACTTTATAAATGAGTTTTCAGGTATTATACTTACAGTTCCACCCATATGTGGAGGCAGGTATTCTACACTGACATAGTCCTGGACTTCATTTTTGCTTGTAAACTTCAACAAACTTACTGCTTCTGGACCAAGCCAGCTTTTCACAATTTTGAAAGCAGCTGGAAAAAAAAGTCACTTTATTAAAATTCTTTTCACTCTTTTTCTCAATTAATTTACTGTAAGTGTTAACCTGGGCCTTCTGAAATCAGTTTGGACTATAATCTGTTAATATTTATCTTTATGTGACATGATACTTAATTAACATCCTCTAATTCCTATAGGCATTTACATTGTGACTCTCCCTAATGGGTTTCAAAAGTTCAATGAAGATTCAGGAAGATTAAATTACCCTTATATATGTTAATAAACTTATCAGAGTTTTGGCCTCTGAATAAATCCATCAAAGATCTCAACTATTTAGATTTCCAGACACTGAATCAAATTACAATGTGATTCAGGAAATAATTGCACAATAGTATGGAAAGAGTCATTTACCTTACGGTTCTGATAAACTCTCAATCTGAAAAATCTTTTAAAATGGGAAGTCATAAGAGAAAGAAATAGCCCTCCTCATTATAAATGCGAGCCAGACCCAGACTTCCTTCCTAACCCTAAACTTTGCCTCTCAAGCCCTGCAGTTTATATAATTGTGAGGAACTTACAGAATCTACAAGAATAAACTGTTACCAAACACAGCTGTTTGGTAATTACAATCTTGTTCTGTCATGCCATTTCTTATTTATACTTAATTTTTAAATCTCATTTCCATTGTGAAATTCTAAGTACATTTTTTAAAGAAATTAAAAGAGGAATACTGCATTAAATTTGCAAAAGTGTCATTTAAAAAAAACGAGCAGTATGATAAACATTAAATAGTTTGGAAAAATTACATTTTTACTTTCGCTATGATTTTTTTATATAACATTTTAATTTTCATTAATCTCAATTTTAAAAGTTTGTGAGATGACACATTTGAAGCTTTGCTACTTTAATTAGATAAAGAGCTAAGTCTGTTTTTTTCATAATAGACTTTATTCAGATATAATTTACATACCATAAAATTCACCCTTTATATAATTCCATTTATGCCACCATCACCCCATCTAATCTTAGAACATTTTTATCACACCAAAAAAAAACCCCTCATCTCGTCATCTTTCCTTATTCCTCCCTTCTAGTCCTTAGCAAATATTAATACTAATCTATTTTGTCTTCATGGATTTGCTTATTTTAGACATTTTATACAAACATAATCATACATGTGGCTTTTTCTGCTGACATACACTTAACATGTTTTCAAGGTTCACCTGTGATGTGGCATGTATCAGCACTTAATTCCTTTTCATGGCTGAATAATTTTCCATTTTATGGATACACAATATTTGTTTATCTATTTATCTGATGACCATTTGGGTTGTTTCCACTTTTTGCTATTAAGAATAAAGCTGCTATGAACGTTTATGCACAAGTTTTTGTATGGACGTAAGTTTTTACTTCTCTTGGTATATACTAAAGAGTGGAATTCTGGGTCATATGTTTAACTGCAAACTGTTTTTCAACGTTGCTGGACCATTTTACATCCTCACCAGTAAGAGGGTTCCGATTTCCTTGCCAATAACTGTTACTGATCTTTTTTTATTATGGCCACCCTAGTGGGTATGAAGTAGTATCTCACTTGGTTTAGACTTGCATTTCTCTAATGATTACTAATATTGAACATCTTTTTATGTATTTATTGTCCATTTATTTATCTTTGGAAAAAACATCTATTCAAATCTTTCACTGATTTTTAATTGGGTTACCTGTCTTTATATTGTTACATTGTAAGAATTCTTTATTTTTCTAGATGTAAGTCCCTTATCAGATATATGACTTGTAAATAATTTATTTTGTTCTGAGGTTTGTCTTTTCACCTTCTTAGTAGTGTCCTTGAAAGCACAAAAGATTTTAACTTTAATGAAATCCAATGTATCTATTTTTTTCTTTATTTATTGTGATTTTGAAGTCATATCTAAGAAACCATTGCCTAGTCCAAACACAGGGATTTACTCCTATGATTTCTTCTAAGAGTTTTAGTGCTTACATTTAGGACTCCAATCCATTTTTAGTTAATTTTTATTTATGCTTTGTGGTAGGGGTCCAACTTCATTCCTTTGACTGTGGATACCCAGTTGTCCCAGCACCATTTATTAAAAAGCTTTCTTTACTGACTTGTCTTGGCACTGTTTTATGGTCAAAAAAAATCGATTGACCATAAATGTTAGGGTTTATATCTGGACTCTCAAATCTATTTCATTGCTCTATATGTCTATCTTTTTTTTTTTTTTTTTTTTTTTTTGAGACAGAATCTCACTCTGTTGCCCTGGATAGAGTACAGTGCCACCACTGTAGCTCACTGGGGCCTAAAACTCCTGGGCTCAAGCAATCCTCCTGCCTCAGCCTTCCCGAGTAGCTGGGACTACAGGTGCGTGCCACGACGCCCGGCTAATTTTTAGTAGAGATGGGGTCTCACTCTTGCTCAGGCTGGTCCTGAACTCCTGAGCTCCAGCAATCCTCTCGCCTCGGCCTCCCAGAGTGCTAGGATTATGCGCATGAGCCACTGTGCCTGGCCTATATGTCTATCCTTATGCCATAGCTTTGTAGTAAATTTTTGACATCAGGAAGTAAACAACTTTATTGTTCTCTTTCAAGATTTTTTTTTTTTTTTTTACTACTCTGGATTTCTTGCATTTTCTTGTGAAGTTTAGGACAAGCCTGCCCATTTCTGCACAGAAGACAGCTGGACTTTTGATAGGGACTGGATTAAATGAGTAGATCAATTTGGGAAGTATTGCTATCTTAATAACAGTTGGCCCTCCATATCCTTGGGTTCCACATCTGTGGATTCAACCCACCATGGACCAAAAACATTAAAAAATAAGTAAAAAATAACAATGAATAAAAAATAATACAGTATAGCAATATTTACATAATCCTTCATCTCTGTAACGAAGAATTAGCTTTATCCAAAGAGTGGCCTGGCCTTTGCTCTTACCTTCTGGGAGGTAATCTTCATGCCTGATACGACTGTCTTTGTTTGTCTGGGGGCTTTGGCTCACACTGGAACAATATAATTTAGGGTAGGTCATCGTAGAAAGACCAACAATGATTTAGGGTGGGGGCTTTAGGTCCCATGGTATCAGAAGACTTCTGGGGAGACTGGAGACTAAGATCTATGTGGGCAATCAATCACATCTCTGTAATGGAGCACCAATAAAAACTCTGAACACTGAGGCTTGGGTGAGCTTCTGTGGCGATACTCCATGCACATTTGCCACACGTTCATGGTGGCAAAGTAATGTGCTCTACTTTGGTACTTCCCTGGACTATACATTTTACTCCCCTTGGCCAATTTTAATCTGAATTCTTTCTCCATAATGAACCAACCATAACTGTGAGTATAATAGCTTTCAGGGAGATTTTGGAGTCCTTCACTAGAATTATTGAACCTGAGGGAGGGTGATTTTGGGCACCTCCTGAAGTTACAGGTCATGTCAGAAGTGAGGGTGGTCTTGTGTGGACTACTGTGCTCCTTCTAACTGTGTAGTTGTTCCAAGTCTTTGCACCTTATTTGTTTGTTGAATACTTTTTATCATGAGAGGGTACTGGTCAAATGCTTTTTCTGTGTCTACTGAAATGATCATGTCTTTTTTTCTCCATTATATTAAGATGGTGGATTACATTGATTGATTTTCATATACTGAACTCACTTTGCATTCCTGAGAAAATCCCACTTGGTCATGGTGTATAATTCTTTTTATATGCTGCTGGTCTGCTAGTTCTTTGTAAAGGACTGTTTGTGTCTATACTCATAAGGAACACGAGTCTGTAGTTTTCTTTTCCTGTGATGTTTGGTATTAGGGTTATACCTGCCTCATAAAATTAGTTGGGAAGTATTCCCCCCTCTTCTATGTTTTGGAAGAGTTTGTGAAGGATTGGTGTTGATTCTTTTTTAAATGTTTCACAGAATTTACCAGTGAAGTCATCTGGGGTTGGGCTTTTCTTAGTGGGAAGTTTTCTGATTAATTCAATTTCCTTTGTTATATTTCTACTCTGATTCTTCTTGAACTAGTTTCAGCAATTTGTATCTTTCTAAAAATGTGTCCATTTCATCTACAGTATCTAACTTCTTGTCATACAATTGTTCATAGTATTCCCTTATAATCCTTATTTCTGCAAGGTCAATAGTGATGTCCCTTCTTTTGTTACAGATTTTAACAATTTGAGTCTGTCTTTTTTTCTTCATCATTTTAGCTAAACATCTGTCAATTGTATTGAACTTTACAAGTTTTGGTTTTGTTGATTTTTTCTATTGCTTTCTATATAACTGCCTTTTGCAAACACAAATGAGAATCCACATTCTGAAAATATTAAGTTTATAATCACTTTAAAGTTCGACAAGAATGTTTTCCAATGGCTTTTTCAAAACATTTTTAGCAAAAAATATATGACGACTGTCTTTTTGGGTCCTGTGACTACAGTTATTTGAGGTGAGTTTCAGATTGATCCCAACTTCTTCCTCAATACCTAAAGCCCATGAGAAAACCTAGACAAGTCTTGTGTTCTGTGATACATCTTATCTGTGGGTGACAAACTGAGGCTTCTGGCTATAACTTTACCTGAATGGTTGAATACCTTGAGACTGTTTTTAATTTTTTTTTTTAAGAGACAGGTCTCACTATGTTGCCCAGGCTGACCTTGAACTCCTGGGCTCAAGTGATCCTCCTGCCTCAGCTTCCCAAGTTCCTGAGTAGCTGGGACTACAGGCCCATGCCACTGAACCTAGCAAGGCTGTTTTTAAAGACTAGCGGATGCCCCCAGATCCTGGGGATAGAATATTGGCCCCGTTTGCTTAGGAATAGCCTTTGAATATTCTAGCTTCAGTCTCTTAAGACCACATGCCAAGGACAATATAAACATTCTTATAAACTACTGTAGAAGTATGGCTAACTTGACAAAGTGAAGAAAAAAGAAAATCAGACATTTTGTTTTAAGAAAGCATAAATAATATACTTACCGTTCATTAACCAAGGCATATCAAAGATCACTATTTTTGCTGAAAGATGAAAAAAAATTCATTGAATGTGACTTAGTACCTCTATAGTAATATCACTTATACCTGGCTTAGAAAAAATTGGTCACCTGAATATAAGTACAAACTGAGTTTGTACTTATTACAAACTGAGTTTGTACTTAGTTCTAATTCAGAGAATTGTTATTGGTGCTAGAACCGAACAACTAACATCTCACATCGGTGAGGGGCCTGCCCAGGACAGCTTGGGGGAAATCAGTACTGCAATCACTGTTCTCTGGCAAACAGCTTATTCTTTTGTTCATTCCCTGCTTTTGTTGTTTGCAGAAAGGTACAAAAGAAAATAGTTAAGTGAATAAGTGGAGTCTTTGGATGTAGTATGTTATATTAGCGCTGGAAGCCACTGAACTTAAAAACATTTCCACGTCTAATTTATGTTTCAATTATAATTTTCTAGAGATTATTATATTGTTAAACCAGTCTCATAGTTGTCCCCTCCCCTTTTAATAAATCATTATGTATTAAGAAACAAAAATCATTTTTACATTTCTTAATATCATGAGCTCCAAGAAACCAATAATTCCAAAGTATGCAGAAGTATTATTTACACACTGAGTTGAAGATATTAAACAGCCATATTAACAAAGAACCAGAAACCATAAATATTTTTGAGATCCAATTCATTGTTCTATTTCAGATGAATTGTAATTTCATTCTTCTCTGAGCAGAGACCTTCCTAGAAGGGTTATACTACTGTATAAGTAAAGTACATATGAGGAACAAGGTATCTGTAAATAGGTACCCTGGTACCTAATACTCCAGTGTTCATTTGGGATATATTTAAAAAGATCTAGACTCAAATTTTAAGATACAATTATATTTCATGACAGATTCTGAATAATCAATTTAAGATTCCACAAAATTCACTGTCTGCCAAACTACATCATATAGGTAGAATATATATATTCTCTCTAGTTAACTTAAATGAATAGTATTCTAATTTATCTTTACATAGATCCATGAACTTAATAGTTCTCAAAGGATTCTCGAAAATATTGTTAAAGTAATAATATGTATACTATTTATAAGTGGCCCTTTATATACTCCATTGAATGTTTCAACAAACAAGAGAATATATTATTTTCATTTTGTCCCTAAAAGAAGCAAGCTAATAATATGAAGTAGTGATTCTCTATTGACCACTGACTGGCACTGCTCAGCAAGCTTTAATGAATCAGGGTACATGCCACATACTGGAATAATTAATAAGGAACAGGAGATACTACAGGTTCTCTAAACTGGACACAATTGGTGTCCTCTTTACCTGCAAATGTTCATGAATATTCTCTTTGAAGAGATGAGGGTACAGGGCTGGGGGTGGCATTGATTTTGATATCTACCAAGCTTTTTGTCTGTTCCTTACTTCATGTTAGCAATAATAATATGAAAGCATGCCAAAGTAAGATGATTTAGGGATTTCATGCTTTACTGTCACCTGCGTCGTGAGTCTCAAAAGACCCAATTTGCTCTATTTGCCAGGAGTCTGCCCAGGTAGACCTGTGAATTTCCATTTTCTGATGTCTCTGTTGCCTCTCTTCTATCTTTTCACTTTTAACCCACTAGGGTTAAATATATTTGACTGTTGATGTGAATTGGCATGTTGATTTCCCCAAGAGGAAACCCTCATACAAATTCAACAAATAAAAAATGAGTATAAGGTTTTTTTCTTTTTTTCCAAGTATTAATGACAATTTTTAAACAGCAATTAGTAAACACTGTACTTTATGTATCAATATGGCTTATCACACAGTATACTTTGCTGATCAATACTGTTTTTCTGTTCTTGTGGAAGAAGTTCCATGTAATAAAAATTATTTTAAATAAATTCCTAAATTAAAATAGTAAAAATGGATAATTTTGGAAATAAATGTATGTTTTTATGTACATATGTGTGTGGGGGGGTGGGTTATAGGATGCTACATATACAGTTTAAATTTTCCTCTGTACCTATCAAGATACATACTTATACATCTATGAACACACTTAAAATTCTTCATCAGAAAAAAAAGTTTCAGGTATGAAATTCTATAATAATGTAAGGCTCCACAATTCTCAGACATTGTCTACAGTTTCAATATATTATATTTTTATAAAGGAGTAAGTTACTTACAGAGGTATTTAGGGTAATAAACCTTAAAGCAGTTGATGATAAAGCGTACAAAGTCCATGTCCTAAAATAAAGATTAAATCTTTAAGACTGTCCACATTAGAGAACTTTAAATTGTACATTTCTAAAGGTGATAAATTACTAAATACAAATGAGAAAAATTAAATTCTTAAAAAATAAGCTCATACATAAATATCTAGATTCCCAAGGACTAAAGTTTTAGGTCATTAAGCTATTTATAATTACCAGCCCTAAAACTAAGTTGAACAAATTAGGTGGTTAGCGATGTTTTAAAATTATTCATTTTACCTCAAACTAGTTACATACTTCAGGCTGCTAAGGCAATAGGGCATAAAACATCTAAAAGCAATGCTCCCAGAGAAATTCTAAAAATCTGAGTAACTACAAAATTACTGAAAACAAGTATACAGTTTATAACCTGACCATTTGGAATGATAATATGTATGCATAGAAATTCTGGTATATTTGCTTTTTTAGAAAAACCCAATTTTTACACCTCATATTAGCTTCAATATATTTTATTAATTTCTTTTACACAACAGTTAATCCAAACACATTGGCTTGCTGTATCTACTTCACTTCTGGCTTTTTAAATTTTATTTAGGCACCTAGAATTAGGTTTTTAGCTTACATTCAAGTGCTATTCATTGACTCCAATTTCTGGGAGACTACAAACATAGCTGTCTGGCTGCTTCTTCTGCTTTGAGCACAGCAACAGGAAATTAGGTCATCAGAGTTACTATTCATATGGGTCATTTCATTCCATGTTATTCTATGGCCACAGGCTGATTCACTAATCCTGACTGGCCATCTTATAAAGACTGCAGGATGAAAGATATAACCAGGCAAACTTAAATCCATCACAATTACTGAAATCTGGTTTATCCTAGAGATGAGAGTCTATAAAGTCATTGGTAGCCTGTGAGATCCAGTAGCTTTAATTGCAGTAAACTGAAAGTAAGCGTCCTTATCTATTTTAAGTATTTATTATAAGATAATCTCTAGTATGTAATAATACCTTTATACCTAATCATTACACCCACTGTGCATGGAATTTCATAATTTGTAGTTCAGAGTCAAAGAAAATAGCTAAAAAGAACTAGTTAACATAAAAATTTGGTTACCTAGTTTATAATTTGTGGGCCCCCAGAAACTTTGCCTAAGTAGTCTAATATTCTTTTTTTTTTTTTTTTTTGAGACAGAGTCTCACTTTGTTGTCCAGGCTGGAGTGAGTGCTGTGGCATCAGCCTAGCTCACAGCAACCTCAATCCCCTGGGCTCAAGCGATCCTACTGCCTCAGCCTCCCAAGTAGCTGGGACTACAGGCATGCGCCACCATGCCCAGCTAATTTTTTGTATATATATTTTTAGTTGGTCAATTAATTTCTTTCTATTTTTAGTAGAGATGGGGTATCGCTCAGGCTGGTTTCGAACTCCTGACCTCAAGCCATCCGCCCACCTCGGCCTCCCAGAATGCTAGGATTAGTCTAATATTCTTGTTTCCATCATTTAATTAATTGAATATCCTTGTTCATAAAGTCTTGAGTTACTGCTAATTCAGTGGATTTGATAAGATGCCACTGGTGTATGTCCATTAGTGGGCACTATGTAAAATAGCTCCATAAAACCTGTTGCTCAGCATTCTATAAGGATGCTCTCAAGGATGTTTATTCATTATCTTGTAAAACGTCTTCCTTTTGAGGACTCATGAAAGAATTTTCTTGTCTAGTTCAAGTGTCAGGAATGGATATACTTCTCCTAAGACACTGGTTTTAAAGTAGGGCCACTGAATAATTTTAAATGATTGCATTTCTTTCAGGCAGGCAGCTGAAGCTTAGAGTCAAACTGGTAGACCAACTCTAACAGATAATTTTCTTATCTTTTTGCCTTGCAATTTTGTATACATCTTTATAAAGCTGACTTAAATCCTTTATGAATCACAAAAGGGTCATATATAAAAGTAAATTATTCAATAAGATATAAGCATTTTAAAACACTAATAATGACTTAAATTTTTACAAATTAAAGATGGTGAGATATCATATAAGTAGCTTTAAAAAATTCAGACAGCTCAAGTCAATTCCCTGCCCCTATGTTTGGCAACAGAAAACATTAACATTTTATTTTTCATGATTCTGGGTTAATAATTAGGAAACTACCATACCCAAAGGATAACAGAATCATGATTTATTTTTATAGAATATTTATCTAGGCAAGTTGATTTTTATTTGCTATATGAAATAATTTACTCTGTGATTTAAAACCTATTGACATGGAAACTAGGTTGGAAAAATCCAGGGCACTGGATTCTTAAAAAATAAAAGGAAGAAATAGAAATATTAAAAAACAATCTGTGGTCTGGCCATCCAAAACGAACTCTTGTTAACAGCTGTCTCTATCCTGTTTTTGTTTGTTTATTATAATGTCTACCTATAGTTTCCTTTTTTTGGGGGGAAATATATAACCATGTCATAGTATATACACATATTACGGTATATATGAACATACAGCTTTTCTCATTTCAGTAAAAGGGTACTCTCACATATTACTACAAATTCTTTTTAAACATCATGTTACATAGGTAAGCATACTCCATCAGATGTACCATAATTTACCATTTCACCACATTGCACATTTACACTTTTTCTAATTTTTCCCTATTTTAAATGACACTCAAAAAACATTTGGGCTCACGATGCTTTTTCGGTACTCAGGATTATTTCCTTAGAACAGATTTCCAGAAATTAGTTACCAGGCAAAGAGTATGAATTCTTAACATACTTTGCCAAACAGAATTCCAAGAAGATTTCAACACTGCTCTGAGTACTTCTACAAATGCCATGTGCACTGCTACTACAATCAACCACGGTTTAAATATAAGAGACATTTAGAATAAATGTGCCAATTGATATTAATTGCTGCTGAATGGTTTGTAGGTACCACAAAGGTCACAAGGGCTTAAAGACTGGTAGGTTTTACTCATTTTTTAAGTTTGGCAAAATCACCTGAAGAGAATGGGTTTTCAAAGTTAACCAAATCAAACAAACAGAAAACAAATCCAAACAAACAAAAATACCCAACAAAATCACAAAGTGCCACATGTGCAAACCTCATGTGAACATCTTGCAACTGCAAAACACAGTATGAACATAAAAAATTAGAGATCATACATTACCTTACTCGATATTTACTGAATGTATTACTGTGTGCCAGGCACACGGGTGGGTGCTGTAGGATATTAGCTTTGATATCAAAGTTCACTGTTATCACATCAACTGATACCCTGCCAGCCTCGACGTTCTACCTCTGCATCCTGCATATCAGACAAGGAACATTTCTAGGAAATTGACAGTTTCAATGCCAAATACTGAAACAAATTTAATTCTCTGCAAACCCTATTTCATGTTTGACTTCATTCACATTGTAAGAGTAAAAAAATAAATCCCAAATCTTAGCTCAATTTTACAGCAATGTTAGGTTGGCAGGGAGGACAGTAGAGAGGGAGGAAGCCATGATAAACAATGATTTAGAATGAATGAAAAAAATGCTTACGATGCTATTTATTCCAGTTTCTGACAGGTCAAACATCACTGTTACAGGTTTCCCATTTTCTCTCTTAGCATAACGTTCTAACCAGAATGCTATGAGCTTTTTTTTGTCCGGTATGGTTTTCTGGTCTTTTGTATGATACTTCACCCTGATCCAGACTTTAAACAGAATGAAAGATAAAAATAAGATTTATGGCATTATAATATTATTTTTTAATATATGTGTGTGTGTGTATGTATAGCCTTTCCCTTAACATTTTTTCATTTATAATTCATTTTGTTTCTCAGATTAAAAAACATTTTTTCCTTCTTTTCTTTCTTAAATTTTTTCTTCAACCCCAGCCCCCTTCCTTCTTTTAAATGAGAAATAGTTACACTTGGGAGAACCGTAAATTAAAGAGTAACAGAGAGGTAAACTATTTTTCTTTCCCTTAGGAAATAAACAAACTTAACTTGTAAGTAAAGGGGAAAAGAAAATACAGGTGAACAAACACTAAAAGTACTCTTTATTGTGCTTAACAAAAAGAGAGCCAGTAGTTCTGTAAACACTAGAAAAAATGTTCCATCCAGAGGAAGGCCACTGACAGAGGTGCTATGGAGGCACCAGTGGGTGCCTGCATGTGGGTAGAACGTGGCAAACCGTTCCAGTGGTGGCAGCTGAGATGAAACGTGATGAGTGGTGAGAGGAGAAGCTAAACAGAGAGCTAGGGGCTGGGCCTGAAGGACTCTGAATGAAACACTGGGGTGCTTTGATTTTCCTGTTTCAGAACACCTCTCAGCAGTAGCATAGAGGGCAGAGTGAAGGAGGCTATGATGTGGGAAGGGCCTGGGGACAAGCAGGTAGTAGTTAGGGACTGGAATGAGGAAGAGGCCAGTGAAGATGGAAAAGGGGCCCGAAGGAAGCCGTATCAGAGGAAGAGCCAATGAGTGGGCCTGAGGTGGGCAATACCGAAAGTGAGCAAGTTGGCAGAATGTGGATGTTCAGTTGTGTGTTATGCTGAAGGCAGCTGAGCCAGGTGGCATTCAGGTGCCAGTCAGGTGGGTAGCTGGGTATGTGCATGTGGCCTGGGGATTGTATAGGATCACCACTGTGTGTGGGGAGGTAGCTGAAGCTGCCAAGGTGCTTGAGATCACCCAAGGAGACTATCAGCTGGAAAAGTAAAAAAGGCAAAGAAAGGAACGAAGCCTGGGAGACATACTAAAGGGACCGGGTATAAGGGAAATAAGAAAAAAAGGTTGAAAAGGATGTGGCTGTGATAAGAGGAAAATGCAAAGAGTATTGTTGAAACGGGGCCAGATTACATGCTATAGAGAGGGCAAGCAAGATAAGTGCAGGCCTTCTGTCCAGTATGGTGCTCAAGCACACATGCCAAGTCCCATCCTTAATACAAAACCAAGCTGGATCTGGGGCAAGAGGGAGAAAGGCACAACAAGGGAGTCATCTGAACAACAGAAATGACTTACTGTTCCTCCCGTTATCACACACATTTCAGAAAAAGTCAAGGGAAGAAGATTATGAAAGACTCTAAAGGAAAAAAGCCCATGTAGCAAACTTTAGTGACTATCAAAAAGATTATAAAAATACTGAGTTGAATTTTAATATCACAGTCAAGTTAGAAGATAATGATGCTGAATTAAATTATTTTGGCTGTGTTACAGTATGCAACATTTGCCTTTGTTGCCTACTTTATTATGATACAAACAGTAAACACAACTACTAAGTGTCTGACACTCTGTAAAGATGGCCCTGCTGATCCTTAGATGGTCCTACTGATCCTTAATTGTAGGAGACTTCATGTGTGCTACATACGAGGAAAGTTCTGCTGCTGATTAGTTCAGTTGAAATAGATACCTACATCTCAAAATCTTGAAAAGCCAGTACAGAAATTAAAAATACTTACACAATTTGTTACCTTCTTTGTCATAACCATGGAGATAAATAAGACCCATTTCCAATAACCATCTGGGAATGGAGGATTCGTTAAGGTCTAAAAAGTGATAAACTTTGATCAGTAACTGTAATTTAGGGACCTAAAATAAAACTCACAATGTAAAGATAATGTGGTATAGTAGTTCTGGTATTTAAAAAAAGATACAAACATGTGGAAAGAATTTCTGGCAATAAAAAAATGATGTTTCCTACTAAGGAAACAAACTACATAAAGACACAGGGAAAGAAATGGATAAACTCCATTCCCCTTGACATGTCATTATTTATGTGGCTACATTTCCACATTGTGGTTGAGTTTCTTTCACACAATGACTTGTAAACAAATATTGTCACTATCACACCATTTCAAGAGAACATGCCAGTAAATATCTACATGTAGCCTCAGAATTAGTGAAAAAAAATCACTTTGGTTTCTCCAGTAAAATGGTATTTTTCTACAATGTTTGATACCCAGTAGACTCTAATATATTTTAGAACCTTGGGGAACCTTTAGCAAGAGGAACAAACAAAGGGCTTGTCCAGTTTCTGGTGAGACTGAGGACCAACAGAGCAAGGCAGCAAACACCAAGGCTTTTGTTTCATTCACCAGCAGTTCCCCAAGAACTGTCAAAAGATTTCTTTCCCCACCCCCTTATCAACTCTCTGCTATTTGCCACCAGAAACTAGCAATTCTATGTAAGAAAACAAGTATTGTTGAGTTTAAAAGTTTATTTTGTACTTAAATCATTTAGATATATTAGATTTATATTTCTTTGCTTAATTTACATAACAAATGCTTCACTATTTGTTGAAATTACTACAGCGTTAACATTTCCAATCACATTATTTCTTCTTCTCATGGATTCCTTCTGCAAATATGAAGAGTGGGAAAGTGTATACTCTAGATTTATTTGTTGACTATTTTTTATTAAGTCTTCAGACTCAAGTCACCTAGAGTTTATAATCCTCACGGACAGAAAATCCTTCTTTATACCCAATTGAAATCAGAAGTTATGCCAATTTCTTCTTGTTAAATTTTTAGGAGAGAGATAACAGGTAACCCTTCCTGTGAAAAGTTCTTCATATACCTGAAGACTATTATCAAACTCCCAGGCTGGTGTAGTAGCTCATGGCTGTAATCCTAGTGGTGGGAGGATTGCTTGAGGCCAGGAAGTTTAACCACTTCAGTACCAGCGTCGACTACAGTTGATAGCCACAGATGAAGGTGCACAGACGAGCGTCGATTTTAGCCGACAGCCGTGATATGACTTTTCTAATTTTTCATTTATCAAAATAAAATTGTGAACATTTAAAAATAACGTAATAAAAACATATATGTATATGTTACCTATTCTGATTTACATTACAAGTAAAGCTGCCTGTAAAGTAAAACAAGCTTTCAGTGCTTTAAAGCTTTCCTCATCACACAAGAGCAAAATGGATTCCTCGTCAATGCACAGCTATTGTGCATTACACAAACTATTGTGCAGACTGTGAGTGCCGGCAGTGGGCAAGGTTTTGCAGCTGGTGAGCGCCGTACCAAAGTGGTTAAGACCAATCTGTGCAACATAGCAAGGCCCCGTCTCTACAAAAAATAGAAAAATTAGCTGAGCATGGTAGCGTGTGCCTGTAGTCCCAGCTACTCAGGAGGCTGAGGCAGGAGGATCTCTTGAGTCCAGGAGTTTGAGGTTGCAGTGAGCTATCATGATGCCACTGCTCTCTATCCTGGACAACAGAGTAAGACCCTGTCTCAAAACAAAACAAAACAAAACACTAAAAAACAAAAACTCCCCTTAAGATGTACAACTCCCATTTTTGAGAAAAATCTCAATCTAGTGGTATACCTAGAAATTAAGAAGTTAAGAGAAAACTGCCACAGCTTCCTTGGGGATAACAAGAGACTTTTTTGAGATTTCCGTTTATTTAGCAATTCTATATGGAGTACCTATTAGCACAAAGAACTCTGGGAATACAGAAAGACATAGACTTGTTATTGAGAAAAACAGTATCTCCTTATCTAGAGGCCTGGTAGTGAAGTTGCTGTCTTGCTATTGTTTAATGGTACTGAACTAAAAACAGATCAGGAGTCTCTGCTGTGAGTAAAGAACACGAGTGTGATTGCTGCTCCCTAGAGATCTGATTTCCTTATGAATGATCCTAGTTATAAGACTTATTCATGAGGTGTTCCTTTGAAAGTATTATTGGGTTGCTTAAATAATTATATTCTGGTGTTTATGACTGAGTGCCAAGAATATGTGCCAATGCATGATTAAATAAATGTAAAACAGTAACATTTGTGCAGGAGATATTACAGTCAAGGTTAAATTGAACAGCTTACCATTGACAGAAATTTCTTTTCTCCACTGAAAACTTTCATCAAGCATCTTCAGTGTTTCATCTACACTATCATGTCTCCAATGTAAGTAACTTTCAACCCAGTTATCATCTTGTTGTAGCCTTTCAACATCACGTGGATCATATTTATCTGACTTATCTAAGGAAAAAACAGTAATAAATATCCAAGTCAGATTAATTCTGCAGTGAAAAATAATCACTAATGCCAAAGGAGAAGAAAGACCTGAAAGCCAAAGTTCAGCTATCTGAGGATAGACACAGGGATGTAGTTCAGATGAAAATGCAATTTAAAGGATTGATGGAATTTCTAAGTGTGAGAATACGGTTACTTAAAGAAAGCAGGTTTATTGTAAGCCACTGTAGAGGTTAAAATAAGACCATAGTCAAATATTTGGCACAATCCTCTCTAAAACTATAAACCAACACCTGGAAAGAGCAATTATGCTATCTGAACTTGAAATTCTTAACCTAATCAACGAAGAATGAAGAAATTTTATATGTAAAGAAATAACTAAGTTATACTTAAGAAGACATTTGTTAGACAAGTATCATTTAAAAAGATGAACTAAATATAAAATATAAAACTGAACATGGAGTTTGAAACAGAGCTGCTCCCTGAGGAGCACAAAAATAACTGAAAGGGAACAGATATTGAAGGGGCGGAGCAAGATGGCGGACGAATAACACGGCCAGACAGAGGGTCTATGCAGAAAAGACCGATTCTAGCAGAAACTAGAGGAAAGAAGCAAGAAGACGAGCATACAGCGGACAAGGGCCGGAAGGAGGGGTACCTGAGACCCCGGGAGACTCCACGGGAGGAGGCTGCGGAGGAGAACTGGAGGCTGAGACCACCGGAGCAGCCCGGAGACCAGCGGCAAGGGTAGGTGGATTCGCTGTTTCCCCTCCCCTGCATTCGGGACTGCTGGTGGGCTCCCAAGCGGGTGGAGAGACCTGCGGACATCAGCCCAGAGACTGCCGCCGCCTGCCAACGGTGAGCCTGTAGCAGACGTGGCACCAGGTTCCCAACTTCCTCCGGGCACCTCCGTGTGCA